TTTATTTTTATTTATTTTTATTCTTTCTTATGCCTGGACCCAGGGAAACAAGGTCCTACCAGCCAAGGTGTTAGGTCCTGGCTGGCATCTTGGTCCCTGCACAGAGCAGTCGCAACTCCACGTCATCAGATATCCCTGCCTGCGTCCCTTTTGTTTTCATTATTTATAACTTGTATTTGGTCATCAGCATAGGCTACCGATGATCTCGCTAATCTTCTAGCCTCACACTAATCACCTTGACTTTCTCTGTATCTTAAGACCATTCAGTGGGTGTCTCTGGGGCTTTCCCTTACCTTCTGGTCTCCTGCCCCAGATGTGTTAGAAGAAGTGTAGAGGTCTTTTGTCAGAGCAAATGACTTCTTTGAATGCCCAGCAGATCAGCAGCCACTCATCTGCTGGCCTCTGAATTTTTTCCAGCCTCTGATACTCCAGACTTTTTCAGGTGGCTGTGAAAAGCATAACTGACCCCAAAGAGAAGATGCGGGGAAGCATCCTATGGCATGGTCTGCCCTACTGATTATTGCTTATTTGAGCACGGATGTACACACTGGTTTATGTTACTGCATGGCCACAAATGAATACACGGGTTAAATTCCACTACTTATGTGCCTCGGTAATTTGATGTGTAATGCCCACATGTACAATCAGTATAAAAATGATAGAAATTTGGGCTGTTGGTTGCCAGATTTATTTCACCTTTTTTGATAGAGCAAGCAGCTAAGCCCAACGAGTTTCCTGACTCCTCAAAATACAACATTCCACTGTTGAGTTTTCTTCTTGTAGAAAGAAAGATGGAGACAGAGCATCTGGGAAGTGGCAGATGATCGGAGCAGAGTGGGGTCTGCCTCTTCTAGCAGTGGGTAGCTCACTTCGAATGTGAAATTACTGCTAAATCTTTAGTTTTCTTTCATATCTTACCTCCATTGCTGGTGAGCACACTGTCTTGAAAGGTCCATTGCTTCTTTTTTGACATTACATAGCTCTCTTAACTTTATATCGCAGAAATAAAAATGATGGGCCATGTAAGCGATTGACATTCTTGTGTGCATTTAGAAGACCCGTTTAGCACTGACGTACAAAAGAAATGATACAGCCACACTCCAGTCCTCCAAAGTTATCAGAGGAATGATTCAAATAGATGAAATGGTTGATCGTTCTCTGCATGTGGCAAACATCCAGCAATGTGGTAAGTCATTTTTGGAAGGAGGAGGTGAAAAGCAAAGGATTAAGTCTTGAATATAGGTAACTAAATATTTTCTTTCTAAAATAACTTTTCTAGACAGTGATCACAGTTTTTTGACGAAAAGCCTTCTTCACTTGCTCTTTTAGTTCAGCAAGTACAGAATGACTGAATTGCAAACATAATTTTTATTTTAAGAGTTTCAGCTTGCCGACTGTATTTGTCGAGCTATACATGTAAGTGATGTCTCTTCTGAATGAAAGTCTCAGTGTTTATAAGTAGTACTGGTAACTAACAAAAGAAAGAGTGGGCACCTATGTTACAACTTTCCCATTCTGATACAATTTTCTAAATATTTTTCCTGAGTATCCAGGTATTTCCTTAAGTCTGGGCAATAAAATTCTGGGACTGTGAACTGTAGATTTCATTTTTATTTCATTGTGGTCATATCTCTGCACTGTCTTTATGTTGACATGTTGCAGCTATACATTTCTCTAAAAACAAACAATCAAAACAACAAAAAACCCCCACACAAACAAAAAAACCCAAGCAAAAACAGCAAAAAAACCCCCACCCGAAATCAATGGTTTTGCCAAGAAGAGACGTTTCATATAGTTTTGGCATGGGGGAAATAGTGACTTCTGCCCTAAGAGTTAGTGAATGAAAATGCCTAGTTGAGCATATAACTAGCAGAAAGTTTGACTCTGAAGGGTGGTGACATAGCTATTGTTTAATAATTTACCAGAGTAATTCATAACATTGGACACCATTAGTCATATTGTTAAACTCCAGTTTCACAGTTTTGAAATTGCTTTTGGCTGGTGCCAGCTTTAACCTCTTAAAAATCTTGCTTTTAAATAAATGCATAGATTAATGTGGAAACAAAACGCTTGGATGCCGATTCCTGTAAGATGCTCAATTCCTTCATTTCTTAGATTGCCTGAGGACATGGCATGGAAGGACGTACAACCACCCCTTCCCAGTCCCTCAGTACACCATTATAATGATTCCCATGGTTTAATGGTTTAGAAAGGTTATTTACAGAACAGCCGGACATCAGTGTGTTTTTCAGAGGAGTAAATAATACTGAATAGCAGTGGGCATGGGTGATTGCATGATTAATCCTTTTTGATCAGGTATAGTTTGGGTTTGTTTTTTCTTCTCGATATCCCCTAATACGTTTCTATGAATCTAAACAGTGCTGCTTGCGATTGCATTGAGCATCCGCAGGAAACCTTCCGTGTTGTATCATAAACTGAAGTAGCTAAGCAGCTGGAGTAGCTCAGCCCCTTAAAATGTGGGGAGAAGGTCCTTTGGATAAAGAGCTTGGGGAGCCAGCTCTGTAATTTGTTATCGATGTGTTGTGTACACTCTGAAAGACTGGACGTTAATAACCTTATAGACTTTCAACTTAATTGTTGTACAACTAATACTCACAGCGTTCAGTCCTGAAAATACTATAACCAACTGGAAGGCAGTCCAGTATTGGAAAAAAAGGTGCTAAAGAAAGTTGATTGTGAACTTAGTGACCTTATCCTCTTCCCTATGAGGAATGGTCTGGGGTCCTACAGCCTTTGCACTGACAGTCTGAGACACTTCAAAAACAGGTGAGAGAGGGCAAAAGAGGATTCCAACTTGAAAAGAGGGGATAAATGAGCACTTGAGAAGAGCTGTACCCGGCTGCTGTGTTCTTTGAAGGGATGTCGGTGAGGCAGCGCTGCTAGCTGAGTCATTCCCCCTGCTCTCATGGTCAAGCTACTACTACCAAGATAGTAACTGGCAGCTGGAAAAGCAGCTTCTGTTGGGGGAATTGAAATTGCTGGTTTATTTTCCTCTGAGACTTCATTTCGAAGTTGGTAATGAAGGCCCTAGGTTTTTGCTTTGCTAGAGTAAACCTGCTAATTTTACACTTTTTAAATTTCTCTGGTGTATAACTCAGTTCAGGTTAGGCTGGCGAGCGCACGGTTCGTTGCTTTTTTGGAAATAGGTTCATGCGAGGTAATGCGCGTGCAGGCAGATTTCCAAGGGAACTTGAGAGGAGGCTGGATGCCCCAATGATTGTCTTCTATATCCTGCCAGGCTTGTCGAGTCGGCGTGAGGGCTGATGCCTCTAGGTTCTTGGAAGAAGGCTGCTCTGACGGAGATAGATCTGTAGACTCCGATAAGGAACACGCAATGGAGAAACAACATGCTGGTTGAGGAATACTTTATAAAAACCAGGAGAAAGTGAATTCCCTTCCTGTCTTACATGGCGTGTAATTTACGCGGGCTCTTTTATGAAGAGCGGCAAAAGAAATGTCTTCAAAGCATCAAATGGTGCGAAACATTACCGTCTTGCTCAAGAAATGTTTATTTTGTATTGCTGTTGTAGGTTAGGATGGTTATTCAGCTGGCTTCCTGCCTGGTGTCCCACGTCACTGCTACACCTTAAAGAGGCTGAGGACAAAATGCTGAAATGTAAGTCTTTGGTTTTCAACGAGATTTATAGACACAACTAGATTTTCTGTAAATTTACGTGAAATATAATCAAAGAAGTTTTTTAAGACGGCTTTTATACACTGTGATGAAATGAACAGGTTTAGAATTAGATTTTCATTCTTCCTTGTTTAGATACTTGATTGTAGGCTCTCTCCTTTGAACGGAGCCGCTATTTAAAACAGTGGTTCCAGTAGAATGTACTTCATATTTTATCAGGCATGTCTAGCAACATCATTTTTTCCCCACTCTTTCTTCAGGTATTTCAAGCACATACAATAAACGATATGTGTATATATCCAATGGAAATAAAATATGGACACTGACATTCTCTCCAGACCTTTCGCATAAAACTCCGCTCGTTCTCCTGCATGGGTTTGGAGGAGGTGTTGGACTGTGGGCTCTCAATTTTGAAGATCTCTGTGGGAACAGGACCGTTCATGCTCTCGACCTCTTGGGATTTGGACGTAGCAGTAGACCGCACTTTGACACGGATGCTCGCGAAGCAGAAAATCAGTTTGTGGAATCCATAGAAGAATGGAGAAAGGAGGTGGGGTTAGACAAAATGATTTTACTTGGACACAACCTAGGTGGATTCCTGGCTGCTGCTTACTCATTAAAATACCCATCAAGGTACGTGAAAGTAAAGGAATGAAGGAATTTGTTTTCTGTATTTGACTAGAGATTTTAACACAGTTTTTATTTCATCAGGCTCTTTGTATCTTTATATACATATTAAAAAATATGTATATGTTATATATCTCTAAGCAAATGACTGTGCTGATTTAAAGAAACTTGACACTGAATTTTAAGCCCAGAGTATTGATTGTATGGTTTGTTTCCAGGTGAACAGGAATAAGTTGATATGGTAAACATGCTTTTCTGTGTGCTTTTCTGTACCTCTTTGTTTTCGTTCGGTACCCCCTTGCCATGTTATAAGGCAAAATAAGCAAAAATTGTCTTTGTCAGCGCATGTTTTGTGACATCTCTGATCAAACATAGGTTTGTGAAGGGAAAATAGGCCTGTTTCTGCCAGACTTCCCATTATTATGGATAACGCTGAAACTTCTGAACGTAATTCCCCTAGGTGGTTCATGCCTATATGCTAGCAGTCAGCCTGGTGCCAGCATGATGATGTAAAAATGATTTTAGTCACTGTTCGATTAAAATTGTCTGTATGCCACTTCATATTTCTTCTTTGCAAAACAGCCCAGCTGCAGCAGTCCTGTAATTGTATTTCATCAGCATTTTCTGCACCGCATTGTCGCCAACAGCTGATCCTTTTTTTTTTCCCCTTAAACTAATGATTTGTCTCCTTTTTTGATATAGTCCGGTTATATAGCCCCTGGTGAGCTAGGATTCCACCAGCTGAGCTCATTCTGTATCAGAAAAGGACATTGCTTTTGTTTAGACACGTGTACTGGACTCCAGTGAAAACCTGTGAATATAAGTTTAGCTTTCCACGTTGTATAGCAGATTCTGTAGTATACAAAGCAAGTCTTATTCTTTTCCTTTCACATCAATTTATACCATATACATTCCTTTGTCTCTCATTTGGAGATTTTGAAATAAATTCGTAACTCATTTTTTCCTAGAACATTTTGCCTCTTTCTTTCCAAGTGGACGACAGCTGGCACGTGCGGCTGGAAATGATGTCTGAAAGCAGGCATGCTTGTCTGCATCCACAATTGCAATGAAGAAATGCAGTCCTCTGCCTTAGGGATGTAAACTTGTTATCCTTTTGAGCATAAACCAACTCTTAGCTCGCTGTAGTTAGTTCCTTGTAGCGATCACTTACAAGTTCCTTACCCCTTTTTCTGGAGTATCTGTAAGTGGCACTATCCTGTCCCTGTGGGATAGGATATTGTTTCTGCCCTCCACTGACTTACATCAAAAGTGACGCTTTGTTTTCATGCCTGACTGTGCTTAAGTTGGGGTTAATTAATTTGGAGGTGTTTTCGGTATGTGCTGTCACATTACTAATGTTCCTTTGAAATTAAACTCACGCCATCAAATATGCAAATTGACTGGTAGGATCTTCAGACAGCATTGAATAAAGTGATAAATATAGCACAGCTTTCAGACAGATTATCTAACAATGCATTAGAGGCTTAAAGGGCTTCTGGATACATATTGTTAGGAAAGTAGATCTGTTTCTCCAAGCTTAGATAATCCATTAATTTACTACATTGTAGCAAAGTTGTTGGTGGGACTTCTGAGGTTACTAATCCAAAAAGATTCCTGTGTAGAGTATCCCCAGGTGCTGGTGGGTCATGGTTTCCAAATAATGCAGCTTCTGGACTATTACTTTTGGAATGATTCTCGTGATCGACTTCCCGTTATCCTGGGTTATGTTTTAGGTTTGATTACCGAAAGGAGAAACGCCAAGTAGGCAGGAAAGTATTAAGAAAGGAAAGGTGAAAAAAAAAAACCCTTAGTTTTTAGTCATGTGTTTGCTGTGTTATGTTTAATGCTCTAGTTTGTGCACAGAATGTGTGACCGTCCTGAACGGCTCCTCATTGCTTGTGCTCTCATCTCTCTTGCTTGGTTTGTGTAGTTAAATTCTACCCTCTTCTCTCTTCACCCTTGGTGTTTGCTGCTGTGGGCAAATACGCTCGTGGCTGAGCTGACAGCCAAGAAACATCTTTGTGAGATTAATCCTTTTCAACCTCTCATTTCAAGCACAGATTTTTGGTTTCCTAACTGATTACAGTCCAGAAATAGTCTTTGAAATCACTTCTGACATCGTTTTAGGCACTAAGAACTCGGCTGTATGAAATGTCTAATCTTATGGCTTTGAAAGAGAAGGAAGTCATGAAGGAGAAAGTAAAGATAATGAAGCTTGCATGGAAAATCACCTTAAATATGCACAACTATAGTTAAGAGTCACTTCTTCAGAAATCGGCAGTATCTGGGACAGTTAGAGTAGGTGTTATTATGGGATTAAACAGAAATGGATGATTCTCATCTACCAAGATGAAATAGATTTTTTGCTTGAGGGAGGACTCGCAGCATGAAGTGAATGATAGTTGCATGTGCTGGAGACTCCTTCTATGCTCTCTGTACTGAGATTCCTTTGAGTAGTAATTTTATAAATTGCCTCTCTGACATTTCTTTCATGACCTAAAATCAGTAAATTTAGAAAGCATCTGCTAATTTTGCTCTGCCTCTTTCAGTTCAAGTTCTACTTTGCTAAGATGATTTTTCAGTTAAATTTCATCTCTTCTTAGAACAGAGATCTTAGATGGCTTGGAAAAGAAAGACTTTTAGCAAGTTTACTTAAATGAAACGGATGCAATTATCTTCTTTTCTCTCAAATTAAAGTGTTCCTACAAATAATACTGACTGAGCATATAAATTAGGCTATTTTTAAAAAGAGCAACAAGACTGGCCTTTTTCTCCAATGGGCAGGACAGTGGCTATCCTATTGAATACTGAGTTTCTCTTTGCGACATGAGCTTCCAAGTTTCTGGTGTTCATATAGGTGATTAGTTGCAATTTAATCTCTCTCTAATTAGCAATCAAAAGCAAAACCGTTGATGAATCAGAAACTAGGTAAGAGGCCACTGTGATAGAAGTGACTCAAACAGGTTGCGTAGTCCTCAGGTAGCAAATTTCTGTCGTACTCAGTTGAAGAAAGATTAACATACTCTAAACCTCTGAACCTTTTTTTGCCAACAGGGTCAAACATCTTATCTTAGTGGAGCCATGGGGTTTTCCAGAGAGGCCTGACAATGCTGAACACGAAAGACCTATTCCAATCTGGATCAAAGCACTAGGAGCTATATTGAGTCCATTTAATCCGTTAGCTGGGCTGAGGATAGCAGGACCCTTTGGTGAGTTTTAGCTACTCTTAAATACCATTTCTGGTTTTGTTAAATGTGAACATGGGGCAGATACCACATTAAGGTAAGCTTTGTTGCAAGCCTGTATCACCCACAGAGAAAAGAATTGGAGGAGAAAGTGGGAGGGGTTGAGGAAAGATAAACTCTTTAGGACAAGAGGGCAAGCTCTTCCTATTAGAAATACTAGTATGATAGTTTATAGCAAGCTACATTATATTATTGTAGGCTACATTTACAGTGAGTCAGATTATGTGGGCGTCTGTTGGAGAAGCCTGACAAAGAGGCATGAATGTGAAAAGGTTTTTTTTGTTTTTCTGGTTGCCTCTGGTCACAGCCCATTTAATTTCCCTTCCAACTGCAGTTTGACGGACAAACAGGATTTCCAAATGTGGTTAACATTAGAAGGCAGTCTCTCATAAACTCATTTGTCTTTGGCCTGAGTTCCGAAAAGTTAAATTGAAACTGGGTTCTTTCCATTAGGTATTTTCTCACTCTAGCAAATTTTGTGTGTCTCATTGGTGTCCTGCATTACAGTGGCAGTCTTATCCTTCATCTTTCTACTTGTCTTCAAGAGCATTCATGAGATGTTAGATAAACTCTATATACTGTAATACTAGGGCTAGGTAGGGATGGCCAAAAATACTGTGATTTTAGTTTATTTGGAGACCGGGGAGAAGGGTATGATCAAATCTTAAAGTCATCATATGTATTCCTTCTAGAGGGGAAAGAGGTTATCTGTCTATTACTCTCTGTACCACAGGAGTATCTGCTGGAGGGGCTTGGGAAAAGATATCCTTCAGGCCCCTCACAAGTTACAATTAACTCACCTCTTCATCATTTTTAGTATTCAGTCTGAAGATAAACTAGTGACATTGCTAGGTTTTATTTACATTTAAACCACATCTGTTTCCTAAGTCTCTTTCTGTAGAATATATATTTTCCTATGCTGATCTATTTGATTGTTTTCAGGGATGTGACAAAATTAGCTTTTCAGACAAGCAACGTGTTTTGTACAAACAGGTTTTGGTTTTTTAAAGTAAAACGCTAATTCAGTTAACAAAACAACCTGAAGCACCTTCAGTGGTAAGCACTGATTTAATGCCTTTTATCCAATAACAAATGCATGCATAAATCCATATGGAAGAGTTCAAAGCTGAAGTTGTCTCCCTTAGCAAGTAAGTGCAGTCAAAACCATGCTGCAGAAACAGATCCTGTCTTGACAAGGTGTCCCCAACTTAGCCTCGCTTATAGGTTGCTGTGGAAAACAGTGCTTTTCAGATTTTTTTTCACCTATTTCTCGTGTTAAAAAAAGTTTTCTGTCATCAATTTAATGTACAATTCTTGACAGGCGAAGCGTAGTTCTTAGAGAAGGGCAAGTTTAAACACTGTGCTGCGAAGTAGGCATCAGATCCAACCTGCTAAAGGCACTGAACCAAACCCGAGTTTCGTTCTACATGCACATGTACTTAAGCTCCTGGGCAGGCATAGGTGTCTGATCCTCACTATAAAACCAATTACTCTTGTTCAAAAGTATGAGATAGGCACTTGAACGTGAGCCAGGTTCTTTGGGATGTCATGATGGTATCACATGGATATTTAATCAGACCTGCAGGCAGATACTTGCACCTGGGAGAGAGTCAGAATTCAGAGAGATCTTTTTCTTTGAGTGGTTTCCAGTTAGTTGGTTTGTGTGTTTTCCTTCACTTAACTGGAACAGTCACCCAGGAGGCTCACAGTATAGGGATTTCGGTGCTTAGGTTGGGTTTGTGAATTCTGTTCCTAGAGCTGAACGCCTAAAAATTCCTCAGGACAACAGTAATGTCACTGCGACCACATCCTCAGAGTCTTCAATGTTAGTATTTCTTTTAGCATTTCCATAGAGACTATGGAAAACATCAACCAGGCAATTGAGAGCGTCTTCAATAAACTTTATGAGAATCAACTAGTGTGATTTCATTCCAAAATTTGTTCCAAGGTGCCTTGAACCCTTTTTTCATTCTCCCCTGTAAATTCCCAGGGAAGGAGAATGGTTTTGCAATTGAACCCACAGAGAAAACGCTTTTTATCAAAGTAAATTCTGAAATTTGATAACTTTCAGTCCCCTAGTTTTTGGAAATGAGGCAGCTGTGGCCTCTGTGCTGATAGCAGGGAAAGGCACAAAATTAGTCTCTTCCAGGTATTCTTATTCCAAGCCAGCTCTATCGCTTGTGCTCAAAAAGACCCCAAACAGACAGACATAAAAAGACAGAAGTCCAGCAATTGAACTCTCTATAGAGAAGATACAAGCAGCAGAGCAGATTGCAGAACGTTTGCAAAACCTTCATTGCTTCAGGACTTAAACTGCTGTTTCGTAAGGGAATTATTTACTCTTGCACGGTATTAGTTTTCTGAATTGATTTAAAAACATACGTAAGGGCGTGTCACACTAGTCTGATGACAAGATTACAAGAGCATAGATTGCTGTGACAAGGTCTACATAAATAGTACCAGACCTTTGGCCAGGGGCAGCTGGGAAGAAGTGACATCATCACAATTGCACAGGTTAACAACAGTATGAGGTTCCCGCTGACTGGAAAAGGGGAAACATAACCCCCATTTTTGAAAAGGGAAAAAAGGAAGACCCAGGGAACTACGGGCTGGTCAGCCTCACCTCTATGCCTGGCAAGATCATGGAACAGATCCTTCTGGAAACCATGCTAAGGCCCATGGAAACTAAGGAGGTGATTGGTGACACTCAACATGGCTTCACTAAGGGCAAATCCTGCCTGACAAATTTGGTGGCTTTCTATGATGGGGTTACAGTGTTGGTAGATAAGGGAAGAGCAACTGGCGTCATCTACTTGGACTTGTGCAAAGCATTTGACTCTGTCCCACACAACACCCTTGTCTCTAAATTGGAGAGACATGGATTTGATGGACGGACCACTCAGTGGATCAGGAATTGGCTGGATGGTTGCACTCAAAGGGTTGCGGTCAATGGCTTGATGTCCAAGTGGAGTTCCTCAGGGGTTGGGATTGGGACCAGCGCTGTTCAACATCTTTGTCAGTAATGTGGATGGTGGGATCGAGGCCACGAAGATGATCCGAGGGCTGGAGCACCTCTGCTGTGAGGACAGGCTGGGAGCGTTGGGGTTGTTCAACCTGGAGAAGAGAAGGCTCTGGGGAGACCTTAGAGCAGCCTTCCAGTACCTAAAGGGGCCGACAAGAAAGCTGGGGAGGGACTTTTTACAAGAGCATGGAGTGACAGGACAAGGGGCAATGGCTTTGAACTGGAAGAGGGAAGATTTAGATGAGATATCAGGAAGAAATTCTTCCGGGTGAGAGTGGTGAGGCAGTGGGACAGGTTGCCCAGAGAAGCTGTGGATGCCCAATCCCTGGAAGTGTTCAAGGCCAGGTTGGATGGGGCTGTGAGCAACCTGGTCTGGTGGAAGGTGTCCCTGCCTGTGGCACGGGGATTGAACTAAGTGATCTTTAAGGTCCCTTCCAACCAAACCATTCTATGATTTTATGATATGTTTCTATTTTCAGTTGATAAACCCAAGTGGTAAACTGCAAGCCTAACTCTTCAGCGTTGAATAATATTCTTAAACTAAGATTAACCTTGGGGTGAGGCTCTTGTCCCGAAGATCCGTCTGGTCAACTAGATGAGGCTTCTTCCTTAAAGAAGTGATTCCAAATAGGAGCTTAACTTTAGAAAGCCTGAATTGACATCTGAAAGGACCTGCTTCTCTGCTTTGGCTGTTAAGGGAACACAGGGACAATAGCTTTCCTAGGTTAAATCTCTTAATTTATACCAGTCTCGTGTCTTGTGTCAAGATTTCTACACCTATTTTTCAACATAAACTTCTGTTCTTTCAGCTAAACGCTAGTTAGCTGAAGTAGCTTCAGAAGAAGAGCGTTCTGTAAAAGGAGAGCACAGACTTCTATCTAAGGAAAAGAAAACAGCCGAGCTTTTTCAGCAGTGCCTTCTGGTTCTGAAAGGTGGGATGCTTTTGGCCCACCGTGTGCTGCCAGAGAAAGGAGAAAAAACAGTGTTGGTATCGTGTGAGACTAAACTGGTGGCAAAAAGATATTCTGCTTAGTCCTTTTGCTGATCCCCTTTGCATGTGTCTTCTATTGCTGCTGTGACCCTTCTCAAATCTTTCATGTATGTATTCAGCTGGGATTGAATTGCCCCTCTTCTGGTGCAGCATAAAATCCTTTAGAATACTGATGTTTCATTCCTGTTTGGTGTCATGCTATCGTGTTTCCCTAAAAGATGCAAGTGGTGAAACAAAACGTTGGTTTAGAAGTCATCAAGCTTAGCCAAGAGTTTCAAGGGAACGTGTTTGGAGGGTTGTAATGAAGAGCGTTAGGCAATCTGGCAAAGTTGTCTATACTAATTCCTCCTCTAATGGTGTTTTCGGTTTTAACAGGATTAAGCCTTGTTCAGCGTTTAAGACCAGATTTTAAGCGAAAATATTCCTCGATGTTTGATGATAACACTGTGGCTGAATATATCTATCACTGCAATGTGCAGTCACCCAGGTGAGTATGAGTTTCCCCGTGTACGTTTTAAAGCCTGGCTTTCGGTTACCAAGTGCCTGCTACTCCCTCCAATGGCCATGGCAACAGTGTGCACGCTTTTTTTTTTTAAATTGTAACTTTTATTGTATTCATTGAAGAAAAAAATAGCATTGCGCTTTTTCTGAATTCCAGAAACTGATAAATGTAAAAGCTATTCTAATTCTGTATTTCTTTTAAACTACCTGTGTGTTAATTCTGAGAGAGTTTGGGCACTAATTTTTAATTTAAAAATTTGTTGCAGTGGTTTAATTTGTAAAGAATTTCTTGAACTTTAAAAATAAGGCATTTCATTCTTTTAAGTGTTATCACTCAGTACGGTAAAAACATAGGCTCTTTCTGTTGAAAATTACATGCGAACCTTGAAAACTTGTATTTCTTAATAGTAAAAAATCCCAGCCTCATGTGCTATTGCACTCTGCCTTACCAAAAGGCACAGATACTCCAATTTAGAAAAAAGGCAGATCCAATGGAAATGTAATTGTTTTTACCCTTTTGAATGACTTGAAGTGGCGAAACGGCTTTCAAGAACATGACTATCCCTTACGGATGGGCAAAAAGGCCGATGCTGCAACGGATTCCACAGATGGATCAAGACATTCCTATCACCGTGGTCTATGGAGCACGTTCATGTATAGATGGCAATTCTGGCAGCACTATCCAGTCTCTGAGACCAAATTCCTATGTGAAGACAATAGTAAGTTGACTTTTAAAGCAGTTGTTTGTCTATTGTGTGGATTTGTTTAAATCATCGATTATTATTTTTTTTCTATACCAACTGTGGAAATGCTGGCCCTTTGATTTAAAGCCCGGGGTAATAACTTCTGTTTTCTTTTTAAAAAGTGGAAGTGTTCTGTTTTCTCTGGAGAGAGAGAAAAGAAGTGTTAGATCAGAGAAAACCTAGACAAAACAGTATTGAGTTCCTAGAGTAAGAAGGAAACTTACTGTAGCACTGGAACCTGAATTAGATCTTTGAGCAAGGTCATTCTTCTGCTCTACAAAATATTTTGCGCTACAATGTGCTATTACAAGTAGTTTTTGTGGTCATTGATAATTATCTGGGGTTTTGTCCCAATATCTGCATATATGTATGACATAGTGAGGAGACTCTCCTAAACTCTTCTAATCTGTCTGTATAATGCTTTTGTTTTTCTGATAAGGTAGTGGTTTGTACCTGGTGCTTAGGTTCTTGTAAGTGTCTTTCTTTAAGTCATTAAAAAAATAGTGTTGTCTAAACATTCTTGTTTAGAGGTATAGCATTATAATTTAACGTGTGTGTACTTGCAACTTGATGCGAATGTACACACTGCATTTTTTTTGTTGATGTCTATAAAACCAAACAAATTTAAAAGTATTCTTCACACATTGTCACATCAGTCAGCCATGAGTATGCATATATGTTACAACGCTATGAGGTGATAAAATGTTTGAATACACCAGCCGTCATCTTACTGCTGTCTAATTCTATCCGGACAGAAGTGTACAATATGTGACGTTGATAGTATACTACAAAAAGTCACTCAAATAAAATTTTATAATCTTGATACAGCTGACATCAGAACTGGAACTCCGAGAAAAGACATTGTTATTGAACTGTTTACGTGTGTTAAAAGAGCACAAATACGTTTCATAAATGTTGACATCCAGACTGAAAGTGTCACTTAACTGCTTAACCAGAGAAAGTTGTAACAAAAAGCGACTGTTAAGAAGTGTATGATATGTTGCTAGGATAAACAATTACCATTGAGGCAGATTTTTCCAGTCTGGTCAATGGCTTTTAGAAGGGACTGTGGAAAACTTGATTGTATTCCAGGTTAAATTTTGTCAAGCCAAATACAGATTCTAAAAGGTAAGTTGGAGTGGTAGATATTACAGGGACATTCAAAAAACCGTAGGAGGGAAATGAGGCTGAGGCTAAGACATGGACTGGCAGTGCCACCCTTGGTAGAATACCCAGAGGTTCTGGGGTTTTATTACCTCTATTTATTTCTAATTAATTTTTAATTTGAGTTTGTGGGGGTTTTTAACACAATAACATAGCTATACTTTTATGGGCTTCAATTAGAGACTTAAGAGGGAGTGTTTTAATAGAGGGAGGGGGAAAATAGGTTTAAATACAAATTAATCTTGGACTGATTATAAAGTGGAAAGAAAATGGGTCAGGTACCTTTGCTGTATGCTACGGTGATGGCTTGCTTCGTACCAGTTTTGGCAGGGAACAATAAATTATAGAAATAGGGTAACCACCCTGTGAGTGGTTACTTAAGCCCATAATTTTGTTATGTAGTTGCTGTGAAATAATCTAGGTCACAAATGTGAACTTTTCCCCCCATATATTGCATCATTTGGATTTTGTTTGTCTCTGCTTAACACAGTAGTTGTTAATTTGGAGGGTTGAAATCTGCTTCCCCAAGTCTAGAAAATCCCCAGCAATTGAAGCTTCTGAGTTCTTAATCATTTATCCTAGTACCTTCTTTAGTCTCTTCCACATCATTTTTGTAATAAGAGGATACAAATGTTTTGATGCTCTCTCTAACGCAACCCCTTAGAGAACTGAAGAGCAACCTGGCAGAACTATTTGAGTGGAGAACCAAAGGGGATGAAGATGAATCCCAAGTTTGATATGTAAAGCGCGTTCTCCTAAGTTTGTTTGGCAGGGACTTGCGTTCGCTTGAACGGTGGTGGCTTTCAACAAGGTGTGCAGTTGAATAACCGATAGTTTCACCCTCTTTTCCTGGGTAGCAAAGTTCCTTCCACAGGTGAAACAAGCTTTTTGTTTTTCCTTATGCTGACGGTCCTTTTTAGGCTGTACGGTACCACCTCCTGGCAGCAATCCTGCTAACCGCATTTACGCAGGCTGGGTGCAAGAGATCGGTTCCAGTTTTGAAATTTTGCTTTTCAAATAATAACGTAATCCAGTAGGTAATGTGTAAAAGTCAGGTTCTTCACATACGTTGATATTTATTTATTTACCTCTTACATTCCGGTGATTTTTGACCTGTTTTTTCACCTTTATCCTCTAGGCTATCCTTGGTGCAGGTCATTATGTGTATGCTGATCAACCTGAAGACTTCAATCAGAAAGTGAAAGATATCTGTGATTCTGTCGACTGACTGACTGCTGTTCTTTAGAAAGTCATACGGTAGATAGCATTTAACAGCAATACTCTCTAGGAAATCACTAAAGAATGCGGAGCTAATGGATTGGGCTCTGTTTGCACACTGTTTCTTCTAAGAAGCCATTTGCACACTTAAACCACTGAGTGCCTTTTTCGGGGGGGGGCATAGAGAGGTTTGAAGCAAACTTTGTACAGCTTTGATTGAGATTTAGTCTTTAGATTATTGGCTTGTCATACATGAAATTACATGTAACTTTTAAAACTGGAATTTTCTTCAAAAGGTAATGGAATTTTGCACGTGTTGAACTCTCTAAAACTGCTGAATTTTCCACAAATGCAGAGGGCTGTATTGATACAGATACAATGTATAAAATGCAATTTGGTTTCTTTATAAACATTCATATTTTTTTAGTTGATCTTTCATAGCAAGAATATGAAGTTGCTTGTATATTTTATTTTTGGAATCCAGAACTCCATACACAGTATTTTAAGAGGGTGTTTGGTGGGTGTTGGTTGGTTGGTTGGTTTGTTTTAATTGGAGTAGTAACAGCTTATGAAGCTGATTTTTGGGAGGAGGACAGGGCCAAAATAATGAGCAGTGTCTGTCACTGTGTTACATGTGTGTTAGTTTGTAAGGAGTTGGGGCTCAATATTAGGAAATCTTTCTTCTGTTGGATTTTATTTCCTTTTATCTCAAGGCGTCTTTTTTTCATCCGTGCAACTTTTACGGAAGGCTCAGTTTGTAAGAGTTGATGATGTCACCAGCACTCATGCTTCCATAAATATTTCAATATGTAGATTTCAGTGATTTAAAATACAGAAGATGGCCTGTTTGTTACTCCGTCTATTTTTAACACTTTAGTGCAAAATTTGGTCCTAACCTAAACCTAACAATTGTAGATAAGTTGACAGGTTTTTGATTAGGGCGAGGGAATGGCCATCTGGATAGCGAACATAATTCCTTTTTTCTTTAGGTAGAAAACTTAGTCCACTTTTTAGGAAATTCAGGGCGGAGGAGAGGCAGAGGGAGAATATTGATGTTCTCTAATTGGGATTTACAGCAGGTTAGTGTATTAATGTGCAGCCTCCTTACAGGAGGGATTATTACTGGAAAGAACGATACCACTGTAACAAATTATAACAACAGGTTTTGGAGATTCTTTGTATAATTACATATTTTAATCGAGTATTTCAATGTCGGAGATAATCCGGTCTCTGGGTCTTTTTGAAATCGTAGTTTGATGTTACTTCTTTACATGCTTAGTAAAGTATATTAAGCAAAATACTTTGTCACTTTGAAGCCAAATTACGTGGTAGTTTGTTTTTTAACAAGTTTACATAAAACTATTGATCTGCTTTTGAATATTAAATTGACTACTGAAGAGTTCTTGATACTTTTATACATGGAGAATTTGAATTAATGATAGCACCGTCTTAAAGCTTGAGTGGAATTCTGTGCATTTTTTTTCTCAAATTATGGAGATGTTGCACATATTTATGATGTGGAAAGCAAAGATACCTAAAATATTCAGGAAATACTCTGATTATGTTCCCAGCCAAACATAATCTCTCTCTTTCTGAAGGAGATATTTATCTATATGGTGCCATGTAAATACCAGTCAGTCTTTGTGACTGCCTTGACTGGTAGCACCTGATATCTAACAAGCTAAAGATTTTAATTAACTATTGAATTAAATAAATTTTTCAATTAGATGCCAGAATTTTTAAACAAAATTTTGAGTTATTTGCTAAAATCTTAAGTTCAAAATGGAAAATCAGAATATCAATTACATTTTTGAATATAAGCTGTAAATTATCAGTCATGCCACCATTTAGGTGGATGCCTTCTGTATGTGTTTTTTCACCCTTTTCAGTGTCTTAATTTATATTTATCAGCTTAATCAGCTGTTTTAATAGCGTGTAAAAACCTAATGCAAAAATATATTCTGAGTCTCCTCTAAATAACAAAAGGTGAAACAAACTATGGGTATTTTCAGATAGCACTTACTGATGGGAATTCTAGATTCCACATCAAAAGATGGAAGTAGGGATAAAAATTGTACACTGAATGTGAATATTGTTTTAAATATCCCTTGCTTTTTCAGTTTATTGTACTAATAAGACCCATTGCTTAAGTTTTGCACAATAAAAAAAATATTAAATGTTATGTTTGATCAGTTTTAAGACATGGTGATGCTTTTGTAAAAATTGTGTGTAATTAAGCCCCAGAAATCAAGAGTAATTAAGAAGTTGGGCTAAACCAGCCAAAATACATTAAAAATACGGTAATGCTTATTTTCAAATGTCTCAGTGTTCTTCGATTTTCTTGTATTTAACTGAAACTGGTAAGCATTTGGCAACACGTAGCTGGAAGCTCAGGGTCTTGATTGTATATACAAAGAAAATGTTTCTTGGTTCTCTTCCAGGCAGTATTAGATACTGCTGTGAAGGTCAAGATGGAACTCTGAATGTCCTCTTGTGTGCAACGTAACCCCATGAAGTTACTTGAAGAAACACCATAAGAGGTGCTGAACAGAAAATGAATGGCAGATACTGAAAAGCCTTGGGAGCTAGACCTTTTGTGAGCGATTACTACGTAGGAATAAGCTGAGTTTCTCCAGAAGTTTTGTTCCAGTGCGATGACCAGTTGCTTAAATGTACTGTAGTGAGCGCTGGACACCGATGCTGCCATTTTTATTACAGCGCTATAAAATAAGCCAAGAATCACAGGCATAACGGCACTCAAAGATCTGTGCCCTCCTAGCACCAAAATGAAGACAGCTGTGTACCAGAGGCTAGGGCATAACAAAAAGAATCCAAAATATTAATAAAAATCCAAGATTAACTGTCTAAGTCTCCAGGACACGCTCTTCTTCCTGAGGTTGTTGTGATAAAATTTTATTAAAGTAACTTAGTAATATTTTGTTTGCATGGCTGAGTTCATCTTGTTACTTATTGAACCTGGCCAGATTAGATTTTAGTTCTGAAAAACTGATTTGCAGAGAAGTAATTTATTGATAAGACTCTGTAATAAAACATTCACAACCCACCACAAGAAAGTCCCCGTTTGTATCTGATTGTGAAATGGAAATGGAGAATGTGAATTCGTAGGCGTTGAGCTTGGAAAAATGGGTCCAAACAGGAGAAATGCCATCATCCGGTTTCACTCGGATTAAGCCGACGCTGGCATTTCTCTTTAAAGCTTATCTTTTTAAGGTTCCTTCAACTATTCGTGCTGAACTGATGTGACAGTCTCTGCCTGAAATGCTCTCTGCGGTCCTTTGTGGTTCCTGAAATTCCCAGCCTTTCCAGATCACAGTTATTCAGCTTTTTGACTGGCAGTAAGACAAGGTTACATACAATAAACACATCTGGAATCAAATGTATGGATAGACATATT